CAGGGAAGCCTTTATCACAGGACCGTTAGTGTTTCCTGGTGTGACAAAGCACACACTCACCACAGAGAACATCTATCTCCTCAGACCCTCGAACCCAGCCACTTCCCAACCAAACCCCCCTCGGCCAGGTGCCTGTGTAGTCCTCTGCATGTGTATGGGGAGGTGAATGTCCCCTCTGCGTGTGCCTCTGTGTGGGCATTTATGCCTGTGTGTGCGTGTCTCTCGGTGCACGTGTGTGCACGTGGGCATCAGGCGTGACGGCTGTCCCTGAGTGCAGGGAGGGCTCAGTGACCCAGATACCTGAGCACCTCTTCCCTCCTGAGGCTGCTGCTGTGGTTGCCACGGCAACACTGCACCCTGGGGAGGCTGCGACCAGTTCCGGCCTTTGATTCCCACCGAGGCCCCTGCTGTGTGTGGGCACGGAGACATCCTCTCCAGGGCGGTCTCCGGGGCCACACTGCCTGCTCCCAGCAGCCCTCCCCAGCAGGCTGGCTCCTGCCTCTGCGCAAAGATAATAATTCAATACCCTGGCACTCGGCTACCACGGACGGGGGATGGCAGAGGAGGAACCAGACACCAGGCAAGGTGGCCTGCTGAGGGCTGGGGCCACCAAGGGGGCCACCTTTCCATCCTGCAAGTCTGGCTGCAGGTGACGGTCCTCCCAGAGCCCCCAGCCCTCCAGTCTGGTCTGGGGGACCAGTCTGACACCAAGGCAGAGGGGACAGGCTGGTAGCAAAGTCGAAGGAATGGTTTTGCAGTGCTGGTGGCAACCTTTGTATTTTTAAAACACCGTGCAGGCCACATGGGACTCAGGGTCGCGGGTTATAATCTCTGCTGAGTGCGTTCATTCATTCATGCTGCCTGTCACCCCAGAAAGGACTGGGGGTGAGAATGGAGGAGAAGGCACATTGAAGACGTGAGGCGCATTGCTGTTGTCCGGGACCGCTGCATCGCAGAGCAGGTACAGAGATGGAAAGAAACCGAGTGTCTGAATGTAACCTCCAGCCCCAGCCCCCAAGTGGCTGGAACACGTCTCAGGAGTTGACATTTGAACACACGGAATTACAGATCCACTCGGAGATACTGAGTCAGGGCTGGGTAGGTAGGTGGCCATGGGGTTTTGAGAGGCGTCAGCACAGAGGTGGGGGTGAGAGCATCGTATCAGAAGGACAGTGGTAACTACAGGGATGTGTGAGACGCCACGGAGTCCTGGTGGCTGCTCACCAACCGCTCACTGGTTCCAACCCACCCCGGAGCTCCGTGCATGGAAGGCCTGGTGACCTGCTTCTGGAAACACCACCACCGTGGAAACCCTATGGGGCCGTTCTCCTCTGTCCCGTGGGGCCGCCGAGTGGAACTGATTTGGTGACACCCAAGCACAGCACACAGATGCCCTGGGAACACAGGGACAGGGCGGCCGCGCTAGCTCGAGGACAAGTGCAGCAGCAAGCGCTCCTGGGAGCGTGTAGGGGCGCTGATTCTCAGGCCCCCTGCAGAGCTACTGGTTTGGAGACTCTGGGGTGGGCCCAGGAATCGGCATCACCAAGCCTCCCGCATGGTGACTCTGATGTTGGATCGAGTTTGAGAACCTTCCTGGCTGGAGGAGGACTCAGAAGCGGAGTCCCATGAGACACCAGTGGTCGGCAGCAGAGGCCTGAGCTTCTCCTTGGACAGTGTCCCCAGCCTCTCGCCAGGGAACAGGTGACGCCATCAGGAGGTCGCCAAGGCTTGTGGAGAGACTGGAACCGTCATCCGATGCTGGTGGTAGTGCCGAATGGTGCAGCCACTGTGGGAGACAGTGTGGAGGTTCCTGAGACGGCACTACCACGTGACCTGCACCCAATCCTAGACGTGCACCCAGAAGATGTGAAGGGGGGAGCCACAAAGAATCCTGCACACGGTGTTCACCGCAGCACCACTCATAGAACCAAAGGCAGAGACAGCTGAAATGCCCGTCAGCAGACGACGCATGAACACAACGTGGTGCATCCACACCGTAAAGAGAAATAAGACCATGAAGAGAGAAGTCCTGCCGTGTGCTAGGACCTGGACGGACTGTGAAAACATGATGCTGAGGGACATACGTCAGTCACAAAAGGACAGAAGCTGTCTGCTCCTACAGTGTGAAATAAGCAAACACACAAGGGCAGAGTTCATTCGTGGTTCCTGGGGTGGGCGTTATTGACCTTCTGTTGCATGGGCAAAGGTTTTGTTCTTTGTATCTTTGCCAAAATAAAAACAAAAGTCAAAGAAGGCCTGAGTGACAACAGCCCATGACAGCTGAACAGGGGCTGCCCAACCCGACCTCCGCGAGCTGCCCATGGCTGGCCTGGTGGCCGCCCTGCCTCCGGCCGCCACTGTTTAACGTTGGAGGGGACAGAGCCCTGTGGGGAGCCTCCTCGATGCAACAGGCTCCCAGAGATGGGCCCAAGGGACTGCCCGGATCATGCAGGGCTTGGGCTTCCTTCCCAGGCGAGCACGTTCTGAGGCTCTGCGGCCCCCACGGTGCGTCACTGAGGCGATGACTAGTGCGCCCTGAGGACCCCCCCCACATGCTCACCTCAGGAACAGTAGTGACAATGGCTCTATCATGTGCGGCAACTTCAAGCTCTTGGTGTCCCTCTTAATTATTTCTATATTCTGGAGGAGCCCGGCTCCTCCCACCAGAGCTCAGAAGGGTAATAGATGAGGAGAGTCAATGGCCTGTGAATTACAACGTTGATTAAAGAAGCGATGACTGGTAGTACCCTTCTCGGCCATTATGCTAATACCTGCCCGGATCCAGGACAGTGTTTACATGCTAATGGCAAGCCTGGGACCATGATGAGAACTGGTTTCCATCCTTTCTTAACACGTAAACATTTTTGAAGCCAATCTTGACCAAGAGCGAGAAGACCCGGCCGTGTGTGCCCTCCCATCTGCTCTCCACACAGTCCCGGGCAGATGGAGAAATGCTCTTCGGCCCAGCCCTCTCCAGCTGCTCTCCAAACACAAGTGTGGACTGAAGAGGAAAATGGGGCCCACAGCGGCCGTCCACAGTGCCCCGAACGGGGGAAGGCAGGTGTCGGCTCAGAGAGGGCTCACAGCGTAGCATCAGATGTTTCCATACCTTCCTCCCAAGGGGCTCCTGCTCCTATGGGGTCCGCAGTCCACAGGGGGCAACAGCAGACGGACAGTCAGACATAGTGCCATGTGAGGCATTAACAGGCGACTTCATTCACTCTGACATTTTACCTGAAACTGTGTGTGTGTGCATTTGCCTAGGAGCAGTGAGCTCTGTGTCTCAAAGGAGTCGGTGGAACCACTGCCCAAGATCCTTTTGGAAGCTTCCAGATTAGCTTATGGTGGTTTGATGCTCTTGGTGCCATCTCCTCGCAGTCTCTCACTTCATCTTTCTATCCCCAAGATCCTTGTTTGATTGTCCTGAAGCAGGTATTCCCATGAAGACAGGCCTGTCCATCCATCCATCCACCCATCCATCCATCCATTCCTAATCCATTCATCCATCCATCCCTCAGTCTGCCCATCTATCCATTCATCCACACATAATCTAGTCACCCATCCATACATCATCCATCCATCCATCCATGCATGAATCCATTCACCCATCCATCCATCCAGTCACCCATCCATCCATTTGCCTGTACATACGTACATACATATATAATCCATTCATCCATCCATGAATCCATCCCCCATCCATCCATTCACCCCTACATACATAATCCATTCATGCATATATACATAAATACATCCTCCATCCATCCATGAATCCATTCATCCATCCATCCATACATACATCCTCCATCCATCCATGAATCCATTCATCCATCCATCCATACATACATCCTCCATCCATCCATGAATCCATTCATCCATCCATCCATACATACATCCTCCATCCATCCATGAATCCATTCACCTATCCATCCATTCACCCCTACATACATCATCCATCCATCCCTCCCTCCATCCATTCACCCATATATACATAAATACATCATCCGTCCATCCATGAATCCATTTACCCATTCATTAATCCACCATCAATCTGTCCAGCTATCCATCCATCCATATACACATATATCCATCCACTTATCCATCCATCCCTCCACTCATCCATCTATCCATATATTCATCAATCTGCTCATCCACCCATACACCCATCCATCCATCCCTTCATCCATCATCAGTGTGTCCATCCACCCATCCACCCATCCATCCACCATCCAATCTACATTTTGCTGAGCCCCTGACTCATGCACATTTGGGGTTGGGAGCCAACAGACCAACAATGAATAAGATGTATTTCTCAACTTCAAAGAATTCAGCTTTATAGATGATACATGGGCCCTCCTCAGCTCTCAGCCACAGGGTAATGGGCAGCTTTGTAGAAGTCCAGGGGCACTTTGTGACTGCAGAGTCCCCCTGAATGTCCCTTCCTGCTTTCTAACTGAAGCCTTGACACAGTGGCTGTAATCACACTCCCCAGAAGGAAGCCCTAGACTAGTGGGAAAAGGAGCTGGTAGGTAAGTATTCCCACCTCTTATTCTTCAGGTAGACAATTCTAAATGCTTCTCATGAAGCCCCAGAGAAGCTGAGCCCGATGCGAGCTGACACCCCAAAAGTTCACCGCAAGTTTCTGTTTGGCTTATGACAAAGGCTCGGGAGGAGACAGTGGTGAGGGTTACCCATGGTGAATGTAATTAGTGTCACTGTACTGTACACTGACAAATGGCTGAAACAGCAAATTCTGTGTTTCACACACACACACACACACAGTGCACTTTTCTACTGCTCTTTTTCCCTGTCTCCTTCACCCCTGCTTCCTGAAGTCACCTCTCAAGTTAACTGCCTACACTGAACCCTTGCCTCAGGCTCTGCTTTGGAGAAAGCTCAATGAACATAGTGTGTTTTGCCAAACAACAGGACAAAGGGAAGAGGGGTGGTCTCCTGGGCCCTGTGAACTTCTCCTCCACTCCTTCCCTCTGTCTTTGCAGGTGTCAGACCGCTGTGACTACGTCTTTGTGAACGGCAAGGAGATGAAAGGCAAGGTGGACGTGGTGGTGAACTTCACGTATCAGCACCTGAGCGCTCCCTTGCACATCACCGTGTGGGTGCCCCGGCTGCCCCTGCAGATTGAAGTCTCTGACACTGAGCTGAGCCAGATTAAAGGCTGGAGGGTCCCCATCGTGGCCAGTAAGAGGTGAGCCTGGGCTGGGAGACGCTACAGAGCCAAACCAAGCCAGTTGCCATCCAGTTAATTCCAACTCATGGAGACGCCACATGCATCAGAGTGGAACCGTGCCCACCAGGCCTTCATTCAGCAGCTGATTTTTCGGAAGCAGACTGCCAGGCACTGCGGACTCAAACCTCCAACCTGTCAGCAGGTGTTGCTGTTGTAGGTGCTGTTGGGTCGTCTCTGATTCACAGCGACCCGTGCACAACAGACTGAAAGGCTGCCGGTCTGTGCCAGCCTCACAATCCTTTTTGCACCTGAGCCCATCCTTGCAGCCATGGGTCACTCCATCTCATTGAGGGCCTTCCCCTTTTTCGCTGACCCTCCTCTTTACCAAGCATGACATCCTTCTCCAGGGAATGGCCCCTTCTGACAACATGACCGAAGCAGGTGAGACGAAGTCTGGCCATTCTCGCTTCCAAGTAGCATTCCAGCCACACTTCTTCTAGGACAGATCTGTTCGTTCTTCTGGCAGTCCATGGGGTTTTCAGTATTCTTTGCCAACCCCACAACTCAAAGGTATTAATCCTTGTTCAGTCTTTTGTATTCATTGTCCAGCTTTCAAATGCAATTGAAGGCAACTGAAAATACCGGCTTGGTTAGTCAAACCTTAGCTTTCAAAGTGACCTCTTTGCTTCTTAACACTTGAAAGAGGTCTTTTGTAGCAGATTTGCCCAGTGCAATACAATATCTCATTTCCTGACTGCTGCTTCCATGGGTGTTTATTGTGGATCCAAATAAAACGAAATCCCTGACCGCTTCAATCTTGTTCAGGTGGTGGTTAAGCGTTTAACTATCTGTGCCATCCAGGGTCGCAGGAGATGCTCGGTGCCGTGACAATAATGGCTTGCTTTGCTGGCCATGACGCTGAGGGAGCTAGTCGTGGACCTGGTGCACAGCAGGAGCTAGGATGACCACTTCCCTGAATCCTAACAAGAACCCCCTGAGGGAAGCAAGGCGTCAGGGCAGCTCGGGAGGCACAAAGGCTGCCCAGTGGCCCGTTGTTTGTGCGCTGCAGCTGGGCTTCTGTTCCTTGAACGTGGTCCAGAACGCACCGAGGGAAGTCATAAATTTTCTAGCCCTTCAGCCCCATGGATGTGAGGCTTTGGTTTATTTTCTCCAAGTGAAGTGGTGAATTCCTCTTCTGTGCTTCCTGAATATCGATAAGTTGGAAAGGTCCCTGCAGAGCACATTATGGCATGAAATTTAATGGCACCATTACTGAACAGCAGACTTACAAAACAGAACTCACTCACTGCCATCAAGTCAGACCTGACTCATAGTGACCCCTCCTTGGGTTTCCGAGGCAGCATCACTACGGAAGTAGATTGCCCCATCTTCCTTCTGAGGAGTGACTAGTGGGTTTGAACCACCAGCCTTCTGGTTAGCAGTCAGATGCCTTAGGCACTACGCTACCACAGCTCCCACAAAACAGAGCAGACTCGCTGAATATTGCCTGTGGTCTGCATTGTCACAGGCAGGAGTTCCGGTTGTCCTTTCAGGAGCCCCCTATCTCTGTGGACCCTAAGTCAGATAACTAGGTGAGGGGCTGTAGCTGAGTTACTGCTTCTGTGCCTGGAATCCTCCACTCTAAACCTTCAGGGCAATTTTCCTGAGAGTCTTCAGGAACCATGGATTTCATTTTAAGGAACAAACTTGAGTATACCTCCAGAAGTGTAACTGGGAAAGGAGGCTGTTAGATTTGTTTTCTACGGGGAAGACTTGAAGGGTTGGCCTGCTTGAGGGAAAGCAGGCAAGAGTCCCTGAAGAACTTCAGGTCCCCTGTGGTCCTGAGTGGCCACAGGATGGGTGTGCACCATCGTGTCCTTGAGGACTGGGGGTCCTGAGCGGCCAGGATCTGGGATGGGTCCCGTGTCCCTGAGGAGGGCACGACCGAGACGTGCTGAGTTCATATCAAATCAAGGCCTCAACACTTAGTAGCCTGCGGGCTTGGGGAAGCTTCCTGAGCTCTCCGTGAGCTCATGATGAGGATTATGGTCTTGCCTCAGAGTGTGATGAAACTAGAAGAGTCAACACACCTGGGAGATTACACTGGGGCCTGACACAGCATGCTCCAGCGGAACGCTCTGTGGTGATGGAATGTTCTAGAACTGTCCTGTCCAGTACGGCAGCCACTAGCCTGGAACACACGCATATAGCTAGTGTGACTAAGAGGCTGGATTTTCCATTGTGTTTCCTAGTCATTCGTTTAAATGAAAATGCAGAGAGGCACGTGTGGGTAATGCTGACAGCTCAGGTGAGCACACGTTAAGTGTCAAGTCTAACGTTTGCCAATAAATGGACTCAAGGCAGAGTGCTAGGCCTCTGGCTGCCAGGCGTGGTCCTGGGGCCCCTGACTTGAGCGTGTCTCACCGAGGCTGGCACTCAGAGGGCCACGGTCCCACTGCCTGGAGCTGAGCTCTCCTCTGCTTCCCCGTCAGGCCCACTCGGGACAGTGAGGACGAGGATGAGGAGGAACGGCGGCGCCGGGGCTGTACGCTGCAGTACCAGCATGCCACGGTGCGGGTCCTCACCCAGTTTGTGTCTGAAGGCCCCGGCCCATGGGGCCAGCTGAGCCACCTGCTGAACCCCAACTGGCAGCTGGACATCACCCACCTGGTGGCGGACTTCCTGAAGCTGGAGGAGCCGCGCATTGCCACGCTCGAGGACAGCAGGGTCCTGGTCGGGCGGGAGGTTGGCATGACGACCATCCAGGTAGGAGCTGGAATGCCTGCACCCCAACCCTGAGCACTGATGGGCAAGGGGGGCTCACGAGACGGGCAGGTCATCATGGTGACAGACCCTCGCCTGCCGTGATGGCTTCCGGTGCCATCACAGGGGTGCAGGGAGGTTAGCAGTTGCACCCCGGGTGCACCAGCTCTCTGAGCTCCCCTCTGCCTCCGACAGAATGGAGAAGGTGCTGGCCACGTGCCCTTAGTCCCATGAGACCCTCTGCCAACGGCTGCCTTCTCCAATCCACCACCAGCCAATCCCCGAGCGCCGCTGAGCCCCACCTAGCCCCACTGTCTGACCGTCGCTCTCTCACTGCTCAGCATAACTGCCTCCTCTCTCTGCCCCCACGGGGACTCAGGCGGCCCTCACTGCTCAGCATAACTGCCTCCTCTCTCTGCCTCCATGGGGACTCAGGCGGCCCTTCCTTCCTGTCTGTCTTTCTCTCTTTACCCAACTCTCCTCACATACCTGCCTCCTATCTTTTGATGAAAGAAACGATCCATTTCAGGGGGGGTTCCAGGAAAGGCAACTGGGGTGTGGAAGGTATGTGGACAGGAGGGGGACTCAGCCCCGCAAGTCCATGCTGGACCCTTCACGGCCCCCTGTGTGAACATGGTTGGTGCCCTGCCCTCATTCCCCTACCACCCCAAGCCTTGGCTGGTGACATGAGCCAGAAGGCTGAGTTTCTGCAGAAGATGTGCTGTGGGTGGGAGAAGGTGGGCTGTGGACAGGGGACCTCATCTCATGGAGCTTTGCTTTACCGCACCTGGTATCTGCCACACGGGAGGCTGAGGCACCCGTTTCCAGCAAGTGTATCAGCACCATGTTTCAACAGCCTGTGCTCACTTCATGTCTCTCTGTCACACGTTGGACATTGTCACAACAGTTCAAACTTTGTCTCATCACACAATTGCACACTTCATAGACGACCAAACCAAAAAACCCACTGCCATCGATTCCGACTTACAGCGCCCCTAGAGGACAGAATTCAACTGCCCTCGAGGGTTTCCAAGGCTGTCAGTGTTTAGAGAAGCAGAACCCCTCATCTCTCCCCCGAGGAGCAGCTGGTGGGTTCGACCTTTCAGCAGCTGAAGGTTTTAACCAGTGTGCTACCAGAGCCCCTTCAGAGACTACAGTACAGTGTACACGTACCTGGGAAACCAAAGAAGGTATATGACTCCTTTCTTGCAGTGGTCTGGGGCAGAGCCCACAGCATCTCCAAGGCGAGTCTGTACTCAGTCCTCGGTCCGTCCCACTATCACGGGAATGTGATCTGGGCTCCATGGGGTCATCGGTGTGCAACTCCCCCCACATGCCGTCAGCCAGACCACCACAGACAGTCACCCAGGCTGTGCTCTGTGCAGAGGTGTCTCAGCTGGGGGCGTGCCGTCCCCTCTCAGAGACGTTCGGATTTTAACACTTACTTCCATTTCCTCGCAGTTGGGGAGGGGCCCTTACCTGCTCCTCACTCAGCTCGGAACAGACTGGTGCGTGTGGTGGAGGGACGTGGGGGCGCTTTGCCCTGTGACTGGCACGGAGGACACGCTGCTGGCAAAGGTTCCGACACCTGGACTCAGGTGTGACGGGCTGTCTGTGTCCCACCCACCCCAGGTGCTGTCCCCGCTGTCAGACTCCATCCTGGCAGAGAAGACGGTGACCGTGTTGGATGACAAAGTGACAGTGACGGACCTGGCCATCCAGCTGGTGGCCGGGCTGTCCGTCACCCTGCACCCCAGCACAGGGAACGGCAAGGCCATCACAGCTGTGGCCACTGCCGAGGAGGAGCTGCGAGCCCCTAAACAGGTAGGGGCTCGGGTGCCCGAGGGCGAGAGGGCATGGGGGGCGGGGCACAGCACAGAGGCGGGGCGGGGAGGCTCACCGAGCCACTTTCCGGAGGGGGCCGCTGCTTTACGGATGAAGGTGCTCCTGTTTACGGCAGGCAGGCCAGCGTGACAGCGGACGCAGACAGCGGGGCCCAGCCTCCTTCCCCGCCACTCCGTTCTCCTCTCAACAGCCTGAGATCTTTCCAAGTCAAAACCAGACCACGATTCTTGCGTAAATGCTTCCATGGCTGCCCGTTGCACGCAGAATAAAACCTGTCCTTCTTACCTCCCCCGGAGGGTGCAAACGGTTAATGCCCTCCCTGCTCACCGAAAGGCTGGGGGTTCAAGTACACCCAGAGCTACCTCAGTCAAGGCCTGGAGGTCTCTCTTCCACAAACCAGCCACTGAAAACCCCGTGGAACGCAGTTCTGCCCTGAGACCCGTGGGGTGCCAGGCGTCGGAGTCACCTGGACGGCCACAAATGTCCGGCAGCATCCCCGTCTCAGGTCCACTGCACCCCTTAACACAGCCTCTTCACGGGGGTGACGGCTCACTGTCTAACCAGGTTCTGGGGCTTGAGTGGGGCCCATCCCAGAGACTGCCTTCCGCTAGGGGGCACCTGTGAGCTCTGATGGCCCCCAGCGGCTACCGGAGGGGGTGGGATGCTCCTTGGGCAGGGACCTGGCGGCGAGTCCTAAAGAACTGAGGACAGCGGGGCAGGGAGCAGAACGCGGGCCGCCCTGCGCTGAGAACAGGTTATGAGCCGAGTGCACGGCTGGCATCAGCACCTCCGTGGTGGGGGGCTGGGCCGCCACTTGCCCCTCAGACCTCTCCGTCTTCAGTGGCGACTGGACCTGGGCAGGCTCGGGGGAACCTGTGAGTGTCGTCTGGCCTGCGGACATGACTCCTGAGAGGGCAGCTCTCGATCATTCCTGAGCACGCGTCCTCCACAGCCGTCCGGAATCTCTCTCCTCTGGGAAGTGTTGGCTTCACAGAAAGCCTGTGGGCCACGCTGTGTCAAAAGCCACTGGGAGGCCTGAGTCTGTGTCTGGTCTCTGCAGGGCGGGTCGGACGGGTGCTGGCAAGCCTGGCGGTTTGGAGGGTTCAGCTCAGGCTGTCTGCCATCCCGGGGCTCGTTTTATGTGGCATTCTTTCTCCACCTTGAGTTTGTGAAGAAAAATTAATTCGGGATGAAAAGCCTGCAAGGTGAACCTACCTGCTGTGTAGACAGGGCTTTCTCTCGGCCCTCGGCACGTGGTCAACTTTAAAATACAAAATCTGCGAGCATCTGAGAGCCGTGAGTCGGCAGACACGCACCTGCTTTCCCCGTGTGCCTCATGTGCTCCGAGGAGAGCCACGCCAGCACCTGACAGGGCCGTGGAATGGGCTCCAGCTCACAGCAGTGCCACGGCTGTCAGACAACTGCCCCCGCGGGGCCTCAGTGTCAGAGGGCAACTGCCCCCCACAGGTCCTCGGTGTCAGAGGGGAACTGTCCCCACGGGGCCATCGGTGTCAGAGAACTGCCCCCACAGGGTCCTCCGTGTCAGAGGGGAACTGCCCCCCACAGCTTCTCAGTGTCAGAGAACTGCCCCCCACGGGGCCATTGGTGTCAGAGGGCAACTGCCCCCCACGGGTCCTCGGCGTCAGAGAACTTCCCCCCCACAGGGTCCTCCGTGGCTGGTTCTTCAGAAGGACATTGCCAGGTCGTTTTTACGGGGTGCCTCTGGCTGGCCTCGAGCCCCCAGCCCTCCTGTGAGCAGACTGCACCGTGTGCACCTCCCCAGGACGCCCCGGCCTGTCCTGCCTGGGAAACCAGTCCTCTTCTGTAAGACACTGCGGTGACCGTGTGCAGGGACGTCTCTGTAAGGCGAGGAGCTGGGACGGGGCACTGGGGCTGCTTGGTTTTCCGAGGACGATGGCGCTGCCGCTGACACTGCCTGTCGACGGTGCTCCTGTTGAAGTGAGGGTGCTCTGTGACCTGAGTGTCCTCCCCGGGGCCCATCAACCCGGGGGCTGGAGCTGCATCCTGCCCCGTGTGCCTCTCTCTCTCTCTCTCTCTCTCTCTCTCCCTTTAGGAAGCCTTGGTCAGCACGTGGCTCCAGTTCAATGACGGCTCTGTGACGCCCCTGGACATCTACGACGCCAAGGACTTCTCCCTGGCCGCCACCTCCCTGGATGAGGCCGTTGTCTCGGTGCCCCAGGGGCGCTCCCCGAGGTGGCCCGTGGTGGTGGCCGAGGGCGAGGGCCAGGGCCCGCTCGTCCGGGTGGACATGACCATTGCCGAGGCCTGCCAGAAGCACAAACGCAAGAGCGTGCTGGCCGTGGGCGTGGGCAGTGTCAGGGTCAAGTTCCGGCCGAGCGGCACCGCACGCAGCCCCAGGGAGGATGAGGAGGCTGAGCACATCGAGAACCACGCCAGTGACCGCCGGCTGAAGGGCCAGGACGCGCAGCCCCTCGGCGGCTCCTCCGGGGGGCGCGAGGAGGGGGCCCTTCGGAAAGCCTCCACCACGGTCCGGTCGCTGCTGGACAAGGCGGTGAGGACCAGCCGGCTGGACGGGGGCCGGCTGCCGGGAGAGGGGCAGCTGCAGAACATCCCCATCGACTTCACCAACTTCCCGGCCCAGGTGGACGCCCCCCGGGCGGGGGCCGGGCTGCAGGAGAGCGGGCTGGCCCCGGCGCCCCGCGGGCTCAGCGACCTAGAGATCGGCATGTACGCCCTGCTTGGGGTCTTCTGCCTGGCCATCCTCGTCTTCCTCATCAACTGTGCCACCTTCGCCCTCAAGTTCAGACACAAGCAGGTGCCGCTGGAGGGCCAGGCGCCCAGGCCCCACCCCCATGACTGGGTGTGGCTGGGGACCGAGGCTGAGCTCCTGGAAAGCAGAGGGGACCTGTCCCCGCCCCGGGAGGAGCACACCACCATTCTGGACCGGGGCCTAGGGGGCTGTGAGGAGAGCAACCTTCTCCTCCGTGGCCTGTCCCAGACGCAGGCTCAGGGCCAGCCATGCCTCGTGGACTCCCAGGGTGGAGAGGAGCCCCTGCACTCACCCACCTCCAGGAGGAAGCGGGTCAAGTTCACCACCTTCACCACCATCCCCGCGGACGACAGCTGCCCCACCGTCAACTCCATCCTGGGTGCGAACGAGGAGGCCATCCAGTGGGTGTGCCAGGATGCAGGGGCCTGCACAGACCTGAGAGCCTACCTGGAGAAGTTCCAGGAGGAGGCATAGCCCCTCCTCAGGCCCTGGCCAAGACCCACGCACCTGGATGCCTGCCTTCCTGTCCCACTGTCCGGCTGATCCTAAGAAGTAGGGCAGAAGGCGCTGGGTGGGTTGAGCAGGGCAGGGCCGAGCCTCCGTGGTAGACCAGTCAGCCATTCTGAAGCCAGGCAGAGCATTTTTGTATTAAGGGATTTCTGCTGGTGGGTGACGGTGGGCTTTTGGAGGTCGGCTAGCAGCACAGACTCAGGTGGGCTGGCCCTGAGCACGATGCTGAACTGGGCAGAGGCAAGCAAGGAAGAGTATTTTATGAGTCAAAGTATAATACAGACAAGCTACCAAAAAGTATTTGTTAAAAAATACAAAAAGACAAATAAAAAGAGTCAGAAATCAGAATCTGTTTATATTTCTAATAAAGGAGAAAAACTGAATGTTTCCTGTTGGTCTGCTAAGAGACCTCTTCTGTTTCAGTGAGCGGTCTCCTCTCCGAGGCGGCCTGCACCCCGGGTCCGGAGGCCATGCTTCAGAACGGGGTTGTGTTGTGGGAGAGGCCTGCGGGTTTCTCAGATCTTTCCTTGGAAATCTTTCTTCTCCTTTTCCACTTCCTGGCATTCTTTTCCCTCCGTAACCGTTTGATTTCCGTTTTTGTTCCTTTCCAGTCTTCCCTCGTAGAAACATCACCACCTCCGTCTTCCTGGGTGAGTTCTGCGAACAGCCTTGACTCACCTCCTGTCTGCGTGGGTCCCTCCAGCCTCCTCCGCGTCTGTGCCTTTGTTACCATTTCGGGGCGTTCTCAGTTCCTTCTGGGGGGGCTCTGCCTGGCACTTAACCCCCACCACCACCATCTTGGGGTAAAGACTGTCAGGCACTTGCAATATACCAGCAGGACAGAACCCATCCTGGGCCCCTGACCCTGCACGCCCCCGGCTCTGGTCGCATGGGGGTTCTCCCACAAGGAATAACCTGGAGCCAGTCTGGCAGGAAACCGTCACAGACCCTGCTGCTGAGAGAGGACCAGAGGAGAGCTGTGTGGGCTGCCCCAGTTTTTCTTGCTTTAGTGGGGTCAGTCCCGTCATGAGACTTCAGACACTGGGTTTGTTCTGAGCATAATCCCACTCTGACTGCCGGTGACCCCGTGACAGGTGACCTGCCCCACAGGGCTTGCTCTGCTGGGATCCTTTCAGAAACAAGTCACCAGGTCTTGTCTCCTGTGGAGCCATCAATGGGCTCGAACCACTGACCTTTTGGGGAAAGATGAGCACTTACCTGTAATGCCACAAGGGCTCCTGTACCCACTGGTTGTCACCCCTATTAATACTGAGTTTTACCAAAACCGTGTGGCTATGGTTAAAGAAACCCCCACCTTCTGTGTTCAGGGAAATGGCTCACGGCAAAGAACTTCCTTCCCATGACGTCAGTAAGACTGGGGGTGCCTGATCCTTCACGAGAACAAGGCCCACTCAGTGAGCCGATTGCCTCATCGATGAGCAACGGAAATGCATGTCTGTCCCCACTGATCAATTAGAAACAACACACTTGCTCACCGAAGATGGTGACACTTCCGGCCTCCCCTGCCCTTCTAGGACCCCGCCCAGGGAGACCGCCGAGTTACTCCTGGTGACGTCACGGCTCAGCCCCCTCCCCGCCCCCGGCGGGCTCCCGCCTCGCTGGTCCCGGGGCTCCAAGGGGCCTGTAGGTTTTATGTCCAGGTGTCTCCCTGCTTCGTTGCCCCTTGCCACCCTACGGTAGCCCCTCCTCCTTTCCCCAGTCCTCTCTGAAGAAGAAGTCTCCCAGCAAAGTCTGCACCCCTTTCTAGTGTGACCCCTTTCCCCGCCCCCCATGCCTCCCCTCCTCCCTAGACCCGGACAAGAACCAACCTTTCTCCCTACGGATTTGCCCAGGGGTACAGGCACATAGATCGTGGCATGGGGGACCCTCCACGTGGCATTCACAATCCCTCTGACCTGAGGACCAGGCAGTATTCCGTTCTGTAGTACGTGGGGTCACTGTAGGGTGAGAACTCCATGGGTCCTGATAGCCAAGCATACATGACGTCACCACATAACACTGTTGTTCTGAGAAGCAGGTGGGCTGAATGTACCTCGAGCACTTTCTGGGAGCTCTCCGCCCCACAGCACGGGGTGTGGAAAGATGTGAAACACCAATCAGAATGGCCGCTGTGGAGCCAGAGCGCCAATCAGAATGGCCTCTGTGGAGTCAGCGGGCCAATCAGAACAGCCGCTGTGGAGTCAGCGCAGAACCGGGCTCTGGGGGGTTTTCAACGGCCAAGTTTTCAGAAGATCACCAGGCCTTTCTTCTGAGGTGCTTCTGGGTGGACTGGGACTTCCAACCTTCCGGTTAGATGCTGAGCATGTAACTCTTTGCACCATCCAGGAACTGCAGTTACCTCCTTGGCCAGCTCTAGATATCTGTAACACATTAATTAAGACCGTGGGGGCTGTGGCCAGATTGACATCTGGCTGCCCGGTGTCTTCCCTGAGATAAACTACAGAAACTGGGGGACTGTGCATCATGCCACCTGCTGGCCTGGGACAAACCCCACAGGGCATCACCCTGCTGACCACGTGCAACCCAGTTCTCAGGCCCCAGACAACTGTCAGTCAGTACACCCTCCCCTGGCGGAAGGCTAACGGGGTGCCTGCCATCACCAGTGGAGAACAAAGGAGTGATGTGAGGATGGCCACCTTGTCTCATTTCCCCCAAGACGGTCCCAGCTTCAAAACCAGAAGGCCCATGTCCCAGGAAGCCCCTCAGGCCCACAGAAATGAGAGGGCTGGTTGACCTGGCCAATGTGCATAATGCCAGCTCTCATTAAAAACTTGCTGCTTAAAAAAAAAAAAAAAAAAATCACAAAGAAAACTACAAAACACTACTTCAAAACTATAAGAAATCTACATAAATGGAAGAACATACTATGCTCATGGATAGGAAGATTGAACATTTTGAAAATGTCAGTACTACCCAGAACAATCTCTACATTCAATGCACCAATGATCCAGATTACATCCACGTTCTTTAAAGACACGGAAAAACCACTCCCTAACTTTATGGGAGCTCTGGTAGCATAGTGCCTAAGGCACTTGACTGCTAACCAGAAGGCTGGCGGTTCAA